TTGAAGTTTGGGAGTGTTTGGGTGATGATGGAACATTTTGGTTGACCAATTTGCTTAATAAGATCTTGAATTCTAAGAAAATGGTTGATGAATGGATAAAAATACATTAGTTCCAACTGATAAGAACAAAGGTGATATTCAAAGTTGCATCAATTTTGTTGTATTAAATTTAGCAGAAGTAGAAATAGACAGGGATGAAAGTAGAGTATAACTTGATGAGCATGAAAGTAAAGTATAACTCTGAAGCACCAGTTAACTCTGAAGCACCCGTTAACATGACACCGAAATAATTCAAAATGAATAGGAGTAATGAGAAAAATCTGTAGGGATTTTGATGAAAAGAGTTTAATTTAGGGTTAACTTTGGCATTATAAAGGGTGTAATGAGAATTTTAATTTTTTCTTAATAGTGTAATAAGAAAATAAGTGTAAAGAGATAAAATTGTAATGTAAGTAGAAATTTTCAAGTATTAATTAGGTTGCTGATAGTAGCACTCATATATATCATTGCTCTAAATCATCTCTTTATTATTGAAACAAACATTAAAATGTTGCCGACTAATAATAAATAAAATTACGTAATATATTGCACCTAATATTTACTCTTAGAAATAACAACAAAACTTAGCAAACAAAATGCAAAATGAGAGTTGGGTGGAGTGATAATGACTGATCTCAATATCCAACATAATTTTCAATCATGCTATAATATGCAAAAGGCCCTAACACATTGTAGGTATTGCCTAACTTTGTATTTTAATTCCTCTATTGTGTTGTTGTCAAATTAATCCTTTCAATCAATTTACTATATGCATGCTTTTGGTTTTTTTTATAAAAACTTTACATGAATTATTTTTATAAACTTCCTTTTGCAATCACCAAAGTTGATTTGGAATTCCTTATTATATCATAAATCTTCTGTAATGCATCTTCTAATTGTTTCAATCATGCAATAATTTTTTTAAAAGATCATGAGTACTTAATTTATTTATATTAATTCAATCCATATTATTTTTATAAAGGTTAAAAATGTCAGATGTTAACTCTGAAGCACCAGTTAACTCTGAAGCACCCGTTAACTCTCAAGTACCATTTGAAAGTGACGCATCACAACATTCATCGCAAGCTACGAACACACCGTCTCCCCTCTCTAATCAACATGTTATTGATTTAGAAGAATCTAATACTACTTGTGGAGGAACTAAAAGAAAACCTAGTATTGTGTGGGAACATTTTAAAAAACAACAAGTCAATGGGGTGTGGAAGGCAATATGTAATTATTGTAATAAGCATCTTGGAGGTGATTCAAAAAATGGAACTAGGCATTTGCATGATCACCATAAGAGTTGTACTAGGAAAAAAGTGATGGACATGAGGCAAAGTGTTAACTAACAACTTTAGTAGAGAGATTCCAAAAATGAATTCTTATATCTTTGATCAAGATTTTGCTAGGAAAGAGTTGTCACATGCCATAATCTTGCATGAATATCCCCTCTCTATCGTAGACCATGTTGGTTTTAAACGATATTCAGCAGCACTTCAACCACTATTCACAAACAAAATTTCGAAAATAAAACCACAATGGCTGTCACCGCACACTTTATTGATGATTCATGGACATTGCAAAGTCGCATTTTGAGGTATATTTTTGTAAATTTGCAAATCATTTAAAAATTCTATCTTATTCAGTTCAATTTGCATATTAATACTTGTTTATGAATATCATATTTTAGGTTTATTTATGTTCCATGTCCACACACAAAAGAAGTTCTTTGTAATACTTTGCTTGAGTATATTCTCGGCTGGAATATTGATAGTAATTTCTTTACTGTTACTGTTGATAATTGCTCCACAAATGATGCCATGGTTACCATGTTGATGGATAAGTTAAGTAATTCATCTCTTTTGTTGGGTGGTACTTTGTTTCATATGCGTTGTTGTGCGCATATTTTGAATTTGATAGTGAAAGATGGATTGGATGTCATACGAGTTGGTGTGGAGAAAATTCGAGAGAGTGTAGCTTATTGGACAGCAACACCAAAACGAGTAGAAAAATTTGAAGAAACAGTTAACCAATTGTGTATTCCACATACTAAGAAATTAGGACTTGATTGTGCAACTAGGTAGAATTCAACCTACTTGATGTTTCAGATTGCCTTATTGTATAAAGATGTCTTTTCTCAGTTGAAAATTAGAGAGCCCCTATATAAGACCGTGCCAAGTGAGCAAGAATGGGAGTTTTCTAGAGAGATTAGTGGGAGGTTTAAGATTTTTTTTTCTGTCACTGAGTTGTTTTCTGGTACAAAGTATCCCACAGCCAATGTTTGTTTCCCAGCTTTATGTGAGATTAGGATGACACTGTCTCAATGGCTCTCTTGTGAAATTGAAGTGATCAGAACAATGGCATCAAAAATGGTGGAAAAATTTGATAAATATTGGTTAGTGATACATGGTGTTATTGGGGTTGCAGTTGTACTTGATCCTAGGTATAAGATGACTGTGTTGGAGTTTTATTTTGAAAAACTTTATGGAGACAAAGCTGAAGATGAAGTTGATAGGGTTCGTCATATTTGTTATGATTTGTTGCAAGAGTATCAGCACCGAGTTGGTATGGAGACCGATGTTGGTGGTGACTCTTCTGCTCATCCAGAAATTGTTACAGAGACCCTTTCAGAATTTGATTTGTTTGTTAGTAGAAAGAGAAGTAAAAAAATGAAGAATGTAAGATCAGAGTTGGACCATTATCTAGAAGATGATGTTTTGCCAAGAACTTCAGGTTTTGATGTTTTGAATTGGTGGAAAGCTAGTGGACCAAAATATCCGACCTTACAGGCAATAGCTAGGGACATTTTAGCTATTCCTGTATCCAATGTTGCTTCTGAGTCAGCATTTAGTACTAGTGGAAGGTTGGTGAGTCCACATCGTAGTAGACTTCATCCAAACATATTAGAAGCATTAATGTGTGCACAAAGTTGGTTGTGGGGTGAAGAGATAAAATGTATTATTTCATCCAATTTACATATTATTATTTCACTTTTTATTATTTAAATTATCATGGAATAATTTCACTATTGAATTTATATTCTTTACTTTTTAGGAAATTCAACATTGGAATCGATGGGCTATGCAACTATATATGATGATGATGAGATCGATTCAAATCAGTCATGTGCCACTTTTATATTAGTTGTCATCTTTTTTGTTTTAATTAACATTTTTTACATTTTATTATTAATATTAATTATTTGTTTTTTTTTCTTTTGTTATTTAACAAGAATTCAAGTTGAAGGAGATGATGGAAGTTGTGTGGTTTGTATGGGTTTGAAGAAACAATGGATTTGCTTTTTTATGTTGTAATGGATATTTTTTTTTTTTTTTTTAATTTCAATTTTTGGATAACCTATCCTTTGCGGGTTGTGCTTGAGATTAATTATTCTCTTTGCTACTTGTTGAATTTTCTTGTGTGTGGGTTGCTGGATAGATATTTTGTTTATGGGCTGTTGGATTTTTGCTACAGGATGTTCTCAATCAGTGATTAGGTAGTTGTGATTCACAGGATGTACACCCAATCTTTACATTTTTAGTTTACAATCAGTGATTAACTATTTTTGCTACAAGATGTTCTCAATTAGTTATGGATGTTCTCAATCTTTACAATCACAGGATGTTTTGCTACAGAATGTTTATCAATAATTATTCTCTTTCTTTTTTTTGTTTTGTTTTGTTGTGGCTGAGTTTTAATTAATTAAAAAAATGAAGCTATTAAGGGTTGATATTCCAACTGAAAAATTCCAAAATTTATACCTCCAGTAGTGAAGGGTGATTGAGAATGTTTATTAATGTTTACAGATTTTTACAAAAAAAAAAAAAGGGATCCCCGATCCCCGATCGAGGGCGGGGATGGGGCCGGGATAGGGGTCCCCGTCGGGGATCGGGGACGGGGACGGGGGGAGTATTACTTTCGGGGATCGGGGACGGGGGGTAGTCCCTGGCCCCGCCCCGCCCCGTTGCCATTCGTAACTTACACGTATACAGAAATTCAAATCTACAATTCGTCAAGACTTAAAAAATTTGTCCTACCAATTATCTGTATTATTATCCAAATAATTAATCTCCAAATAAAACCTAACACTTCAAAATTTATACCTCAAGGCCCGTTTTTTGGGGGTGTAGAAGGTGGGATGAGATTAGTATGGAGGTGAGACCCATTTAGTATTGTGTTTATTTGTAGAGTTGAGGAAGTGATTGAGATGGAGAAGGGGATTAGGATGGAAGTTGGAAGGGGAATTGAAATGGAGGAAGTAGAGGTGGTATTAGAAAAATAGTCCGTCGGACTAGAAATTTTTTATTTTTTACATGTTAGGCTTTTTTTAAAAAATATTAGTGTTTAATTTTTTATATTTTTTTATTTATTTTATTATTTTATATAAAAATAATTTAATAATTCTTACACTAATAACTATCATTAAAATAAATACAATTTTATTTAATTTACTTACTATCACCCCCCTCACTATGAATCCCTATCGAAAAACAAACGGGCCGAGGCTTATCAAGTTTCCAACGTTATATAGTGTATTTGCAACAAAACGCGCAGGTTAATCCTTTGCTCTTCTCATGATTAGCTGACATCGATAATCCTCTTTCGTAGCAGATGATTGGTTATTTACTCGTCACTAAGATCATGTGATTGGTTCGTGTAAGCCACGCGATATTAATTCGCGTCTCTGCAGTAACATAATCTATTGTATTATTATTATAATCATCCTTTGACAACTTCCATAAACTCAGCTTATAAACGATAATGCTATGTAGTTCAAATTTTGTGGCTTAAAAGTGACTTAAATGACTAAAACGATGTCGTTTTGAGTACAGAACAATATAAAAATGGTCAAAACGACGTCGTTTTGACCATTTAAACCACTTTTAAGTCACAAAATTTGAATTACGAGACATTTTCCGCTTATAAAAATGTCTTCCTTTTAGTTTTACTTCTCTGACTTCACCTCTTTCCTCACCTATTCCAGTTCTCCCTCTCTCTCTCTCTCTCTCTCTCTCACTCACTCTACATAGCTATATATATCAATTCATCAAAGTTGTGTTTTTTAGGGTTTTTGCTTGAGGGTTTGATTCAGAAATTGAAGAGCAATGGCTCAAGCTGTTGAAGAATGGTACAAGCAGATGCCCATCATCACCCGTTCTTATCTCACTGCTGCCATTGTCACCACCATCGGTTGCTCTCTCGATGTATCCTCTCTCTCTCTCTCTCTCTCTCTCTCTATATATATATATATATATGTATATATTTGAATGTTTGTGTATAATTTGGGGCTATTGGCTAATACTTGGTAGTTCTTGTTATATGCAGTTTGGTATTATTGAATTAGGTTTATTTTCAACTGGATTTTTGTTTTGTTTTTTTTTTTTTTGTGTTTTAATGCTATGATTGATGGGTTAATTGGGAGTTGATTGATAAGAAAGTATTGGTTTCACATTGTTCAATCAGTGGTGATAGTTTTAACTTGGGGAAATTTTGTTTGCAGATAATCTCTCCTCATAACTTGTACTTGCACCCTAAGCTCGTGATTAAGCATTACCAGTTTTGGCGCCTCGTCACCAATTTCCTTTACTTCCGGAAAATGGGTAAATTTGTTTAGCTATATGATCCATAGAGAATGAAATGACTTTTTTAACTGTTTATTCCGATTCGGTGACCTTAAAGTTTTATTATATGTGTTGGTTGAATCTTAATTTGACTAGTAGGGTTGTACTTAATAGAGATATGGTTTTTGTCGTAGTTTTATGCGCCTGTTATCATTATGACCTATAAGATTATTAAGTTTTATGAAATTTATAAGGAATAAAATGCTTGGAACTGAATGTGGCAAAAGAGAAAGATGTAGGTGTTTTTGAGTCTAATTACATGTCACTAGATGGTGTGCACACCCGATCGCTGTGGGTGTGCAATGAAAATCAACCATTTGAATGTACAAGCAGAAAGAAAAAAAATGAAAAGTTATCATAATTTGAAATTCAAAATCAAAATCTAAGATAGTTGTATTAAGGTAATTATTCCTGGGCAATTTGGGAATAGAGAAAAGTGGCTGTTTCTAGGATTGTTCACTGGTCAAATGGTTCGGGTTTACAGGTGAAACCGTGACTCAAACCGCCTCTTTCACAGTAGAGATTTCACCAACCGGCGTCGCTGAGGTTCTATTCACAGCCGACCGTCTCTTTCACTCAGTTGGCGGACATGTTTCGGATGGTTTCAAAATTGTTGGTTATTCTTTTCCCTTCTAATTTAAACCCTACCAAATACATACAACATTTTTAGCTATACATATAAATATACATATATATATACATATACATACATAGATCTGTGATGGAGGAGAATAGGGGGAAAAAAATAAGAGAGAAATTTATTTTTGAAAGCTACCGTAGTTGCCACTGAGACCCCTCGATCCATCTTACAACAATTGTTACCATTACCATATCCTTCTCCATCTTGCTGTAGCCACTGCGACGGTCGCGACCCCTCCTTTGCAACAACCTCGTTCTTTGCTTGAGTTAATCGCCATGGATTAGATTTGTGATCTCCGTCTGTGTGAGAATAGAGAGACGAAAAGAGTGATAGATTTAGGGTTTTGGAGTTTCGCAAATCGTGGTGGCCTGGATGTCTTTTAGGGTTTCTATGTGGGAAAGAGAGAAAATTTGAGTCTCTGATGTGTTATTTAATTACTGAGTTAAATGAGTTCTGTTGGTAAAGGTGAAGTCTCTGTAATTGGGAAGTGGTGCTTTAGGATTTCTAGAAGAGAGAGAGAGAAAAGATGAGTCGTATTGTTGGGAAAGCTTTGGAGTTTCTAGAAAAGAGAGAGAAGTTGAGTGGGTGATGTAATAATTACAAAGACAAAGGAGGTTGGGTCTCTGTATCAGGAAGATAAGAGGTTGGAATTGGATGCTAAATATAATATATATAATATTCGGTCGGATCAGGTTTATGGATTTTCTTATGGTCAAATCCACCACTCGACTGAAACATTGAAAAAATTCACAGATTCAAACTGCAGCCGACCATAGAGAAGATCAAAACTGTCTGTGATGAGTTCGGGTCGGGTATGTCGCGTATTTGGTTGTTTGAACACCCCTACTGCTTACACCAGCAGTGTTGTGTGCTTTATATAAAAGTATATATAAGTGTTCGAGTGCACTTTCTGAGATGGTTTCTCGTTCCACCTTATTTATGTTCAAAAATTGACAAAGAAAACATCATGGATCATTTATCCGAATATATGAGATCCTCAAATAAATTTACTTTCATATTCCACATTTCCACATATTCTCAAATTATTTAAGCAGTCTGGTGGAAAGGGATTTGAAAGGTTACCATATATTTATCAATCCATTTGTTTTGTTTGATAGTCGATTATGATTGCTTTTCAGATGCTGCAATTTTCACCTCTGAACTTTAATGAATTCTCCTTCATTTTCTAGATTTGACCTAAATCTAATTCAATTAATTTATATCTTGAAATTATGTAGCCTTTCTTGGATTGCATAATCATGAAGTACACTATTTTAAACAATATATCCACCTGAATTGTTTCCGGGAACTCTAGTATTGGATGGTTGCTCAAATTCCTTTACTTTTCCATTAAAAGACCCTTGATTGAATTGTTAAAATTATCCAAAGTTGATCATCCATCCAAAAATATATATATATATATATTTTTTAAATCTTTTGCCTCTCTTATTTAGTGCTTTTGTGAAAAATATTGTTGGATGTTGAATGGTTTTTCCTTCTGGTCTTAGTTCTTGTTATCGTTTATTATGACTTTTTTGTAAATGGATGATCTATTAATTTGTTTAATGTAATGGTTATGTTTATTCAATTAATGTTACTCTCCCGCGTCTCTCTCTTCCTTTGAAAACCGCGTTTGACACGCGGCCTTGCTTTTGCATCGGCTGGCCGACAAAAGCAGACCTCCTTGATTGCCGATTGCCTCGGCTCTCTTTCCTTCTTTGTCTTTTTCTCTTCTGCCTTCTTCTGAATCAGTATCTTCCATCTTCTACTTAATCACTCACTTCTCCTTCTTCTTCCTCATTCTCTTCCATCTCCTTTTTCTTCATCACTCTCTTCTCCTTCTTTTTCCTAGTCTGTTCTCTGCTATTTCTCTGTGACTCTTTTTCTTTCTTTTACATCTCTCACCTCTAACATATGGCCTCCTCATCTCGTCCCCTTACTCTGTTTCCGGACCTGAACGATCCCATAAGTTCTGCTGGACCGAGTATCCTTGCTCCTACTTTTACTCCTCTTAACTTTCCTATGCTATCAATCGAGCAAATAATGACAGCTCAATTTGACATTGAGGCCAACCATAATACGCTGAAGTCCTGCATGGAGACAATGATTGCGGTCTCCAAGTTGTCTCACCGGCTGCAAAATAGGACAAGTGAGGTACAACAGTTGAACTCCTAACTCTCTTTACTCCAATGCATGTACAAAGATGAGCGAGCGGGGATTTGCGCACTGAAGGCGGAGAACAAAGAGTTGAAACGGAAGGCCACCGTCATGGCCCGATTTGGAGCACTTTCGTACTTTGCTTTTGACGACCAATAGGGAGTCAACCCTCTGGGTGGTCCTGTAAGCACTAGGGCAGGGCCTTCAAGGGTTGACGACAAAAAAAGGAAGAGTTTGGCGGAAGAGTCGAGTAAGTGAAGTCGGCATGTAGCCATCACCGGAAACAAAACAAGAGATCTCTTTCTTTTTTTCTTTGTTTTTCTTTTGTTTTTCTGGGCTGCTTGTTTTCTTTTTTTCTTCTTTTTTTTTTTTGTATTTCTGGGTTTGTTGTTTTTTTTTTTTTTTTTTTTTTTTTTTTTTTTTTTTTGGGGTTTTTTTTTTTTTTTTTTTTTTTTTTTTTGTCTCTGTATTCTGGGATGTCCTCCCTTGACTTCAATAAAATCAGTTTCTTTTTTGCTCATCAATGGCGTGACTGGCATATCACTTTGAGTTTGAAAACAATTTTGTTTGATTGAATTTGAGAATGATTGAATTTTGAACCCTGAATTGGACATTGATTCCATACTGACATGACTCAAAGAATAACTTAACGAAAGAAAAACGAAGCAAAATAATCTAAACACACTTATATACACTAACTGGTATGAATGTAATATGAATCTACATAACACATAAAAATATATAAAATAAATAAAATAAAATTCGCCATGTCCCCCGCTGTGTCCATGTCCCCATTTTTTGAAAATTGCCGTGTCCCGTGTCCGTGTCCGTGCTTCATAGCTCATTGCATCTTGAAATCTATCATTTCTCCTTGTTGGAAACTTGCCCAAATCTTTTACTCAATTGGTTCATCTCTTAGATTTTCAAGAATGTCTAGTTTCTTGTACTACCTCTTCAATTGTTGCTATTTACTTGCTCCTCCGCATTGTGTTGCAGCTGTGCTCATTTTCGTAGACTAGTTTTTTTTAATGCCCAAAATTAGATCTTATAAATTTTCTTCTTCAATTTTACAATTATACAAACTCTTAGAATTTTCAACATTATCCATTTCATTGTTTTTTTGGGGTAGGGGACCCCTTCGTCAGTTTGAGAGTAGATTGAAAATTTGTTGACTTGAGGTGAGTTTGCTCAATGGTTGCTAAAGTTTTGTGGTTTGCTCAGAAATATAAACAAGCCACCATGTCATATATGAGCTCTTACATGTATCCCAATATATTAAGCCAGTGCTAGGCAAAGTTGTGACTCATGTAGGTAACTGACAAAAGATTGGAGTGCATGCCTAATATGCCCCTTCAAATATGTTATCACTATGAAGTACAAAAGCCATTTCTTTTTTTCCCTACATTTTTCAGCCAAATGTTTTTTGACTTGTGCTATTGCATCCTTGGCTTCACTTTTTTACTCTTGATTTTACAAAGCCAAGAGTTTGTCTATATTCACTAGTTTTCCAATATGAGGCAAGGAATTGCATTATTAGTTTACATTTCCTCGAACATCATATATACTACATAGTTTTGATAATTGCCAACTTTGTGATATATGGTGTCAGATGTCAAGGCTGGGCTTAAAATAGTAAACGTTTATGAGTTGCAGCTGTTCAAAACCTTTTATCCCTTATATAGTTAATTTAACAGACATTTGTTTTTCACTTGGTTGGTTACAAGAATTCATTTCTCTTAAAACTTAAAGCCACGCTCGTTTGGGAAGTGGTTATTTTAGTTGGCTTTTTGGCTTTTTATGAATGATGTGCAGAAAAGTAGAGAGGGTGATGTGACAACTTATGGTGATTTTTTGGCTATATTAGCTTAATGCCAAACAACAGTTAAGTCTGAGGCAATCATGCCCTTTCTTATTGTCTCAATACATGTCTTCATTGGCCTTACCTTATTTTTTAGTACCCTCAGTGTGAATCAATCACTCATGGTAGGTCAATATTTATTGGGCATGACTATAAGTTTCACATGGATACATATGGGAGAGCTTTTGAACCTAACAATGCCAATGATATAAAGTAGCCACATAAGCAGGGTAGCGTGGGGTAGGCTCCTCCTAGTTTTGACCCCGGCCTGAATGCCAGTGTGTTTGAATATTTTCCCCAAGTCTGCCATTACCCCTTTTGATTGCTCAAGAAACATGTCCTGTTGAGGCTGGGGCTAATCGTGTAATTTCATCCCTTCCGCCCCCTCATTTCTTATTTATTATAAAAGGCAACTAAAACATGCAGTACAAAAAATAAATGTTTCTATATTCTATAGCTCAATGACAAATTATTTTACGGTTCTATTGGTCAAACAGTTCATCTATGGGTCATAAATAAGTAGTTAGTCAATGAATTCCAATTTTTGTATTTGTTGAAGTTCTTGCTTTAACTAAGTCTATTCTTCTTGTTGAAAACTTTGCATGTTTATTCAGAGATGCATGCACATATGTTTATTCTTGCTGATATGTGGAAATCTAATCTAAATTTGTCTGCACTGGATGGTATTTGTCCTAACATTGTCGGATCTTGAAAATGCCAGACTTGGACTTCCTGTTCCACATGTTCTTTCTTGCTCGATACTGCAAGCTTCTTGAAGAAAATTCTTTCAGGGGAAGGACGGCAGATTTCTTCTATATGCTCTTATTTGGTGCGACTCTTTTGACTGGGATCGTTCTTATTGGGGGGATGATACCTTATGTGTCAGAGTCACTTGCAAAGATAATATTTCTGAGCAATTCATTGACATTCATGATGGTTAGTGTTCCTCTGTTTATGTAAAAAATATATCTGGTTCATACCTTGTTATGCAACAACTGTTTTGGAAGGCTTAATACCTATTCCCTCCCACATTTTGCAGGTTTATGTGTGGAGCAAGCAAAATCCTTATATCCACATGAGTTTCTTGGGTCTATTTACTTTTACAGCAGCTTACCTTCCATGGGTGAGTGATTTTAGTGTGTTCTTGTTATGCTTTATTGAAGTATTAGTTCAGTAGATGACTAAAATCTTTCTGTTCGTAGTACTTCTTATTTTTATCTGCTAGTGCTCTTTAAGTCCTTTAAATATACTACTTAAGTGATCATCTGAAAGTAGTATAATTTTTGGCCCTTTTGTTTCTTAATTTTCGATTCTACATTTTGGTTTCTTCTTAGCTCTACCAACTCTGTTAAATATCCTACTTTTACTGTACTTCTTTAAAACCCTTACTCTGATAGTGTTTCTCTAGAACATTACTTTGGAAAATGCAGCCATCAAATTTGCATTTAGAAGATTTTGTTCTGGTTTTTGATCTAGTGGTGTTAACAACCAACTTTTCTAAAAACTGAAGCTATTTGAGACATGTAACTTTAATTGTTTATATACACAAGAAGGCCCCTAATGTTAGGCAAGGCTCCCATTATAAGCAGGCCAAACATGTGCAAATATTGTAATTATTGTGTAGGATATTTGCCTATTCTGGCAACATGTTAAAAATCAATTTTTTTAAAAGCTTAATCTATATTAGAGAGGGTATAATTTAATTATTTATAACCTCAACAAATGGAGTCTTCTCTGTTCATTTCTAGTAGGTCAATTTTTTGTTGCTAGTTGAGGCTTTTTAGATTGTGAGGATACAGATGCTTGTATGCTATGAATAATGAAGCACAAATACAGACGAGGACACGGATACAGACATGGATACGGGACATGGCGATTTCAAAAAAATGGGGACAAGCACACGGCGGGGGACACAGCAAATTTTAAAAAAATATATTTGTATTTACAATGTAAATTAATATTATGTTACCAAACAATCAGAATTAATAAAACTAATATTAATTCAATGCATATATAAAAGTCACTACATTTAAATAAATAAATAGAAAAAAAGAAATAGATTTAAAGAGAAATATATAATATATTTATCATAGATAGACAGATGATATATACTTATTATAGATAGGCAGCGTATTTTCAGAGGTAGAGTTTAGGGTGAATTATCATTCGGTGGTATTTTCAAAAAAATATTAAAGATTCGTGAAAAAATTTAAGACTTTAATTATTAATATTTACAAAGTTTACCATTGATTTGTAAATTTTAAAAAAGGAGGGAGGGAGGGAGGGAGGAGGGGAGACTTACCAGACTGCAGATGAAGCTAGATGGAGATAGAGCATGATGGAGAAATCAATCGAATGGGGCACATTTTGATGATTTGGATGCTCTGTTTTTGTTACTATGTCAACAAGTGAACTTTGGTTGGCTCCATTATTTGTGTTTTCATCTATGGCAAGTTTGTCAAACTTACCTACCTACCCTCAAAATTTTTATCCTTTCTAGTACAATTTTCAGTTATCATTGAGCTAGCTGATACTACAGGGAAAGTTTTTGGTTTCACTTTCCACTGTCATTTTTTAGTGGGCAATGATAATGCAAAAGAACATATATTTTTTTTTAGAGATTTGAAAGGTAAAGAAAGAGAGCTGTGGAAGCATAAAAAATCAACTGGGGTACGATTGGACTTTTCAACAAATTTCTCCAATTTTGAAGCATCTGAATGTGTTACTTTTGGGACATCAGATGAATTTAGAACATTCAAAGTAATACTTTCTTTCATAATAAATTCTGGAATTCTAGGCTATCGATTGTGAATAGAAACCAAGATGAGATTTATGGTTATGGTCATCAAGTTTCTCGGGTCGTCTTCCTCTTGGTTTCTTAGCTATTGGTTGCGAATGAACAACACTTGAAGAAGATTGATTGCTGTGACATGTTATGATAGGATAGCTCTACTCTAACTAGAATTTCAAATTTAATTCAAATATTTGATATAACCAGAAAATATTTGGTGCTTCAATAAGGTTGCCTTGTATTACTTAAAATAATGAATTGTAGCTAATTACAATCAATGAATATCATATATGGAAACCCACATTAATCATCCGAATCAGGAATGTCGTTAAAAAAATTTGGTAAATTAGCATAATCTAATGCTATTTCAAGGATGTTATGAGGAATAGGTCCTGGAATCTCAAACAAGCATGATTGACTTGAACGATTTTCTAATGCAAGAAGGGGATTTAATTCTTCGCTTCCTTTTCTGTCTTTCCTTTTCCTTTTGTCGTTCCAACAAGGAAATTTTCCTAATTTTTCGTTGTCTGAAGGCAAAGGCATTGCGTCAGGGACATCGAATGAACTTGGGACATTCAACACCATCTTAGTTTTGGGTTTCTGAGTTATCGATTGCGAATGAAACCTAGATGAGGTGTTTAATGGTTATGGTCGATAGGTTTCTTCGATGGTCTTCCTCTCGGTTTCTTAGCTATTGGTTGCGAAATGACACTTGAAAGAGATTCGTTGCTAGGGTTGTCCAGCTTCTTCGGTGGTCTTCCTCGACCACAATGCATGATTGATCCACTCTAACTACAACTTGAATGGTATAACTAACTAGAAAGGGTTTGAGGCTGAGAGAGAGAGAGAGAAAGACAGAGAGAGGACTTTCAAAGAAGAGAGTAAGAATTCAAAATTCTACATGGAATCGATTTCCTTTCTTTCTAGTCAAACAAGACTTTGAAATCCATATAATCCTGGGATTTCCAAAAAAGAGAGACATAAATTAAACCGACACTTGAAGCAATTTGACTTCCAAATTTGATGATGTGTTGTGTAGTCGTCAGTGGACTGCAAATGAACAGAGCCGTTCTTGAACATATTGGAGCTTGGCTCGGTAAGGGCTCGTTCGAATTCGGATCATTAAATTTTTATTGTGTTCGAGCTCGAGCTCGTTAAAATTTTAATAAACATGCCCAAACATACTAAAGCTCAGCTCACTAGTTCGGCTTGTTAGCTAGCTCCTTCAACATTTATTTAAATAATAGAATAAATATATTATTTATATATTAAATAATGTAAAAATATGTGTAAAAAATAGGATAAATATGTGATTTATATATTTAAATAATATAAATGTAAATAATAGCTAAATTTATTTATATGTAAATAATAACTAACTATAGATAATACATTTATATAATAGTAGTGGTAGATATTATTATTTTGGTAAGATATTCATTTTTTTTTAGTATGTTTATATATATTGTATATATAATTGTATAATCAAAGTTTCAATTGTAACTAGTCTCATATGCAAGTATAAATTTATAATTTCTTTGGTCTGTTAAGGCTCGTGAATAGGCTCGAGCTCGAGTCAAGTCTAAGCCAACTTGGCTCGAGCTCGGTTTGTTAAATTTTTATTGAATTTGGGCTCAAGTTCGAGCTCATTAAAATCTTAATAAACAAACCCAAACATAATAAAGCTCGGCTCGGCTCGGCTCAGCTTGTCTACAGCCCTAGTTTGTCAGGGTTGTTTGGGGCTTATATTTTTTATAGTTTTTTTGTTACATTATTTTTTATTTAGTAAATTTTTTTCCTTGACAGGTTCTTTGTTTCTCTTCTCTCTTTTTTTCTTTTGATTTTGGATTAGGTCTCTTCTTCTCTTTCTTTGAATTAGGGATTCGATTTAGGGCTTTCCGTGTCCCCTCCTGTGCCCCGCCGTGTCCCTTGTTGTGTCCCATACCCAAAAAAAAAAAATGGAACACGCCATACATGTCCATAGCGTGTCCCTGTGTCTGATATCGCTACGGCACAAGTTCTGCCGTGTCCGTGCTTCATAGCTTGTATAGCATCTTATCACCAACCATCTGTGCTCTCAACATAATTTTGTTGATACTTTGGAGTTCATTATTTTTTAGTTTTGAATAGGGCAAATTACATCGTCAGTTTTTATTTTTTGCCCTTTATGTCATTTTGGTCTCTGCAACTCCATTTGACTCGGTTTTGACCCTAAAATTGGATTTTGTGTTAATTTGGTACAACAAAAAATGGGCCGTTAGTAATTTTAACAGAAAATAGGCATGTGGACTCCTAAATGGTGCCATCTTCGTTCCCCTACCCCAACCCCTAATGCCATCCCTCCCCCAACCTTGCTCAACCCTGCTTTATTATGGAACTGAATAGGAAAGCTTGGCATTATTTTGGGAAAATTACAAAAAAACTTTAAGGTTTGAACTTTGTAACAAAATAAACTCTGAATTTTTAATTTATCAATTTAAACCCTAATTTTTTGATTTGTTATCAATCTAAATCATCTGCCTATTTTTGTTAAGTAAAATTGACAAAAAAATGGTATTTTAGTCATTGAACTCACTGTAGATGTATGAAAAATGTCTAAAATGCCCATCTCCATTGAGTTTAATAACTAAAATAAATCAAAAAGTTAGGATTTAAATTGACGAAATTAAAAACTCAAAGTTGTTACAAGGCTCAAACCTTGGACCTTTTTTCTTTTTGTGTGTGTGTGTGTGTGTGTGTGCGTGTGTATAATTTCCCCTGTTATTTTTGTTTGTTTTAAATAGTTTTGCCATCATTTGTGTGGTGTTAGTTCTATATCACTCACTATAGCAACTATGTCTCCTGCAGGTTCTTTTGGGATTCTCTGTCCTTGTTGGAGCTAGCGCCTGGGTGGATCTACTGGTGCGTTTAAAGTTTAATTTCCCCTTCTAGTCATCTGACTTGAGTATTCTTGCATGGTGAATATGGTCTGCATTCTTGAGCTTTATGAGTGTTAAATTTCACATTGGGAAGAATGTAGAAAATAGTTTGGCGCTTGTCCTTAGCACTGGTTTATTATTTTGTGCGGTATAAGTCAGAGGGAGATTACAATGTTTTGGTGAATGGTAAATGGCCTGGAAGGAACCTCCCTGCAGAACATAATTTCCCAAGTTCCTTGTTGAAAAGGTCATAAAAACCTAAGCACACTTCACTGCATTCTGTTGTCTAGCTAGCACAACATGAAAAATGTCACAATCTTCGAATGGGTGGATCAAGAGGGATTCCTCTTTCCAAATGCTCTTTTAACATTCTCAATCTGAATCTAAAGCAACCTTATGATCCTTTTTTTCTTTTTCATTTTTCAAAAAATCTCAAATATGGAGGTTGGGGGCTAAATTTGGGATGAAGCAAGATATTTTAGGTCAAGAGACCATTGATGTAAAACTTGTTTTTGTACGAGTTGCCTTTGTTTAATGAGATGCCACTCCTGAGTGAGAGTGAATAATTTATATGCATTTTTATGCGAGACAGTAGGTGTGCATTTAGACATGTAACATGAATATGCATCCTACAAACATATGGACTTTGGGGCAAATCTTGCTCCTGGTCATTGCCTGAACTTCCTACTATGGATTTGCAATGGGGAACACATGGTTCTTGAAGACTCCATATCCTTTAGCTCAGACAATGATCACATGGCTCTTCAACACTTTTTCTTCCAGCTCAGAAAGCAATCAGTAGCATGTTGAGTTTACAATTGACCAGTCTCTTCGTTTTAGCACCCCCTTTGTTCACTCATTTTGTTGGTTGCTTTTCTATGATATTTTTTCCTTCTCAAACCTAAATTATATTTTGTGAATTCAGGGAATGATAGCTGGTCATGCCTACTATTTTCTTGAAGATGTGTATCCGCGGATGACAGGCCGTAGACCCCTTAAAACTCCATCATTTATTAGATCACTGTTTGCAGAGGAACCAGTAGTGGTGGCACGACCTGCAAATGTGAGATTTGCTCCCCCACCTGTGGAGGAAGAAGCTCAACAGAATTAATAAGCTCTTGGGGAAGACTGGACAAATGTTGCTGGACTTGACAGTGTTAATCTGCTTGTAGAATTAGTCAGAAGGGCATAAGGGAAGTATGATCGGTCCTTAATTTATGACAACGCTTTTGAATGACATGGTAATTATGGTCATTTTGTCATAATTCCTTATATCAGGTGGTTTAACGCTTGTATGTTGTTCATGTTCAGTCTGGAATTTCATACTTACTAGTTGGTATATATAGAGCACTCCTTGTTCTGTGTTATAACTGAAACTTTTTGCCAGAATACAAAAGAAGTATTTTGTCCGAGTTCAAGATATTTATCATCTCATTTCATGGTTAGTGATTTGGTTTATGAACTTTTTTTATTTATGTGTGCGCATGTGTTTTTGTTCTTTCCCTTGTTGAGTTTTGACTGATGGAAATAGATGTTATCATTAGCGACAATCAGGCCACATTGTATTTTTGAAACATTTGGGTCAATAAGTTCAAATTTTAATCTTTTGGGACCGAAAGGAGATATATTTGTACAAGAGAACATTTTTCTAGTCAAAAAATATCCTTATCACCAATTTTTTTTTAGTCCTTGAACCTAATGTCGTATTCTCCATAAAAATGGACTTTTCACCAATAAATTCATTGTTATTTTATAGGTAGAATTTAAGCAGTGTTTATCCTTTATTTTATAGGTAGAATGTAAGGAGAGTTACCATTTAGTTGTATTTTCAGAGGTAGAGTTTTGGGTGAATTATCATTCGGTGGTATTTTCAAAAAAATATTAAAGATTCATGAAAAAATTTAAGACTTTAATTATTAATATTTACAAAGTTTACCATTGATTTGTAAATTTTAAAAAAAAATAAACTTACAATGAATTGTTATTTTTCCTAGTATTTATTGATGCAATATCCCTTCTATTAACCCGTCGGGGGTCATCGGATTCAGCACACAAGTACAGTTGCCCAAGTCGGATATGGCTATAGTTGGCCATAAACTAGGGACTCTTTGTCAAAGTGTACAGTTTGAAGCATAGTTTGCTTCTTCACATATAGCAAATTAGAAAGCTCTAGAATTTTTTTTTTTTAAAGAAAATTCTAAACATACAAAAAAATTGACAAGAATAATCAGATAATATCATGATTGTAAATAAATTTATTTTTAATTATATTTTGTTTTCAAGTGAAATTCACAATGAGCCAATTATTATGTATGAAAATTATATAAGTTTTTTGTTTATATTAGCGTTACTTTGTGTTTTTTTTTTTCCCCCTTTATTTTCCTTTCTCAGGAAAATGGGAATAGGAGGTTTCTTTTCCTTTTTTTAGGAAAATGGAAATATAAGGTGGCTTAGGACAAAGGGAAAATAATTAGATAAATGGAAATGAAAAAAGGTAATTACAAATTAATTGAGTAATAGTGAGACATGCGACTACAAGTGAGCACATTTGTAAACATCTTGTATAAGTAAATTGAAAAATAAAAATAAAAGAAAAGAAAAGAACTTTGCCTACCATACCATCAGTCTGGCACAAGTTTTAGGAGTACAGTTTTGTTCTCAACATTAAACTATAAAATGGTAACAACCAAATTGAACAAATTACCATTGATTTTGAGTACGGTACAATGACCTATAAAATATTTACTAAGATGTGAAACAAATAAATAGTACAATACACATGAATATAATGTTAAAAACCCTAACGAAAACGATGCACTACCAAAAAAAAAAAAAAAAAAAGAAGACTAAGAAGCAGCACTCTATCAAGTTTTAAAAAAAATTTCCTCTCAGCAAACCAACCCAAGAAAGCTGCATGAAACGCATACAACACCCAAACTTCCAAGCCACAGAATCCATGAAATAAATTGACTACATCTGCAACAGCTTGTTACAGAGAGCTCCGCGTATTATCCATGGGGAAAAAGAATGCTGACATCAAGAGCCATACCAGGATAATACATCTGGATTGATTTTCTGGCTCGGATTCTCTTCCTTGACTCCACTAGCATCTAATGCCGCAACTAATTTTCAAGGAGAAAATAAATACTAATGCTGATACAGATTATGCACCGTTGCTATCGTATGGGATGATATTGAGCTGATATTCTCTTTGGCGGCAACTTACGCAAGATGTAGAGGACAAGAGCCGAAGGTAGGATCTCAACCAACTGTTTTTTGGGAGCAATTGAAGGTCAGAAAACATGCTCGAAGAAAATGCATGAATCACCTAAAATTACAAGGTTAATATTGTACCATGTAATAGATCAAGTTTAAAACTGGATGGTACAATACGTCGAGTGATGCATCTGAATCAAAAGCAGACAGAACAACCTGCATTTGGAGAATTGGGTTAGAAGGTAGGAAATTGAATTTAAATTTGAGAAAACAACAATAACCAAGAAAACAAATGAAGAAAGCAGCACTTTTAACTAACTAGAAGTCTTTTTAGTTCAAATATTGAGTTCGGTCTGAATATTGAAAATATTAGCAAATGCAAAACCTTTCATGTCAGATACAGAGGATAGGCTCTGAAGAAAGAGGCAAAGAAACTACTACGAGTTACAAATGTTCCAAACAACAAGGTGCCAAACAGATGTTCTCTTGGCTGAAGTATCAAGTATCTCAATTACAGTTGAAATTTAAATATAGTCGAACAGCTTTGGGAAATCTTCAATTTTGATTGTACTTTCCACCTACAAAACTTATTTGAATTTTCATTTTCATTTTTGTTTTATTTTATTTTATTTTTATATCCTTTATCAAAACTCAAGCTCGATAAAAGACTCCATGATTCTCTCAGACTAACCAACTGAATAATGACTAAATTCCAACTATAAGGAGGTTAATGGTTATCTCATCTATATAATGTTTCACTTCTTTTACAATTTCCTCCTTTTTGGGTTTTTGTTTGTTTGTTTGTTTTTTTTGTTTTAAAGTCTCTTTCTTTTTGCTTGTCACAGAGATTAGCCTGCATGAAACAATTCTTCAAAGCCGCATCCTAAAAATATTACTCTAGGGAGTAGTCAAGAAAACACTACTTGAAATAACTAGTTCATAGAATAGTCTGAACCTTTATTTTTTATTATGATAAGTAAGAAAAGTGTGAACCTTACCACAAAGCATCGTATAAGAAAGCAGGTGAAGCATATGGCAGTCACAGATCCAACCTGCAACAATTAGCACGTGTTACCACCAAGTTACTTGGACCAAATTAACCTACTATTTCTGTGAAATAGTTTTTAGAAAAAGAAAAGGATATTTGTCACCAGATGAATTTCACATCCTATGTTGATCCACACAACAAACGCCATGTACACATGTAAAACCCACCATATCCAGAAAATGGAGGGTGAAAAAAAACAGTGAAAGAGGTGAAAGAAAAGGTGAACTATTTAACAACCCCGTTCAGATGAGTTTCCACCAAATAGGCGGCGTGCATACTCAAGCAAGTTTCAAAAAGCAGTTACAAGGAAGACTTCACAGTGCATCCCAACCATAAATTTGAGAAACTATTTATACGAAGAAAGAGCAACATCAATGTGTATTAATAGAAATTGCTCTCAGATCCACTGGCATCAAAGACAATTCAGATCATCTATGCAATTACCAATAACCCTAGATTTCCAAATGTATTACAACTGTAAAGCACAATAAACCAAAAAACATTATTCAAAATTTCAGGAAAAATGCTCCACAACAAATTCTAGCAATTATGGTTTGTAATCCAGTAAACAAATAGTCATTGGAAAGCACAAACCTCATGAAGCTTCTTCCTTCTCCCTTTAGATTCAATAGGGAAACGTCTCAGCATGAAAAATAATCTGGAGCATTAGATACAGCATCGCATTGGAAAATGATTAAGATAACAAACATCAAGTCTATGGATTGTCAGAACAAAGATTGCTTCAGATGCGTAATTAACATAAGCCAATAGATATGACTCAGAAGATTTACCTTCCGCCATACAGCAAGAAACCTAATGCGGCTAGAAATGATACCGCTGGGAAATAAAAAAATAAAAAAATAAAATTAAGCATGCTACAAAGAATACTTGTATCAGATTGTAGGGAATACTAATACACAAGAATTTTCAATCTACACAAATGAAGCTCATGAAACACAGAATGGTTAGATAAGATGCCTAACCTGCAATGAATATTTTTCCAACGAATTCCACAACACTGCTGTCATCTATCCAGAGGGATATCCAGATACAAACCTGAGACAAAAATCTAAACTTTTAAAATGGATTACTTAAAAGGGCAAAGAAACATCGGAACTATCTATTTTTTTGCTTGCACCAAAGTGCTTGCTCAAGGCTGTTTATGCTACCAAGTTGAAGCATTGAATTACACCCTAGCAACTACATTTTCCACAAACTGTGGCAAGGAGTGGAATAAAACCTCTTGCTTCCCCACACAGAAGGGGAACTCATGCTCGCTTCATAAGTTCGTGAATTTAGAGCTGTGTACTAGTCAAACTAAACACTCCACAACAAAAATTGCTAATTAATTGTATTAATCAGAAGTAAGTTTTGATGTGTACTAGTCGAACTAAAACACTCCACACCAAAAATTGCAAATTAATTGTATTAATGTAAGTTTTGCAAAGCAAGATGGTTAAAGTGAGTCAAGCCTTAGTTGCATGATGTGGGAGCGGGAGTGGGGAATATAGAAGTGTCTAAGGTTGGAAACGCCTAGGAGAGGTCAACGTATTTTTATATTAGTATATGGTAAGAAATATTTTGTTGCCTATTAAATGTTTTCATTACATTACTACCTAAACTGGTAAAGATAAGCATAGTAAATTCCCATTACAAAAATAACAATTCATCTCCAATAACATATATTTTTACTCCTCAATCCTTACAGGTCACAAATTGAGAGATCCATAAAATTATCGTCATCCTTAGATTGCTAAGAGAAAAGCCAAAATCTAGGATAAATATTTGTTCTCTACATTTTATTGCATTGCCAGTTTTTCTTTTATTTCTTTCGGGCATATGTTTGAGTGGTCCCATCCCAGTTGAAATCGCAATTCAATCTTGACAGAAACGTGGTTAACAAGATTCATACTCTGAACCACCAAATTGCAGTTTTAGAGTGGAAACGTCACACCCAGTAGGAAATTCCTGCAACTAAGAACTAAGCTATGGTAGCCAAAAAGCACAATGAAAGCTGTCAGTTAAATAGTTGGCTAAATTGAAAATTATATCAAGTAGAATACACTGTGAAAACATTCATTTCAAACAAGCAACTGGACACCAAAATACATTAAGGATTTGCCTCCTATTTAATGTGGCCCGGCATGTGCAAAAATCGGCTATGAAATCCACCTACAGATAGCTCCAACATTAAAAGTTTAGCATTTAAACTCTCTTTTCTGTACTTTTCTTTGGGTTCAAACCCCATGAAAAATCAGGCACAGATTGCTGAATCAAGAATTATCAACGCAAGGAGATAAAGAATCTGTCATGGTATCTTCATTCTTTAAGAGAAAGGAGACCCAGGGTGCCCATGGATATCATATTATATCCAGAAGAAGGAATAAGAGGTATTTGTTCAATCCTTACAGTGCATAAAGAATCTGTCATGGTATCTTCATTCTTTAGAGAAATCCAACAGTGTTAGAGAAGGTCCACAAATTGAAACAAATAATAGTCGTCACTGGGTTCCTAAAAATAGATAATTAAATTACAAATGATGCAGAAGCCACCAATATTTGAAGCAAATGTCTAAATGCTACAGGATCAAACAATCTGTGCGCATTTGTGTGATTATTGTTAATGCTGGAGATCCCTTACAATGCACCAGCCAACAATGACATCTTATATACTGCATACTGGTGGTGCAGTACAAACAAAAGAGAGATAGATCATACCTGTATAAAGTAAATCCCACCATTTACTGAGAGATAGATAATCCTGAGCTTATCTGTTGGTAGACTTCTTGCCTGCCCATTGATAAGCATGAAAAAAATCAAAAGCATGCCCATATTATATAGACAAACTGCAATTGATAGCACAAATCCCCACTTAGTGAGGGATTAGCCTTAGAATCATAGATCACTACTTCGGGTACAAAATAATATAGAACTTCAACTTGCCTGATGATATATCTCTGCCCAAAAGAGGACAAGAAGCGTGAAAGTTGAGAAAAAGAGAAGTCCAGGCAGATCCAATAGTACCAAAATTAGTACCTGGTCCAAGACACAACCAGCCAATGTCAGCATAAAGCCGTTGAGCGTTATTGCTTAATATTGGAATGTGTAAAAAGTGTTTTGGAAAAGAAAAAAAGGTTAAAAAAGTTTTGAAAACAATGAAAAGTGTTTTGAAATAAGTGAAAAATGCCTTGTATTCTTCACTCTTTTTTTTTGTCTATTTCTTGTGCCTTAGATTAGATGCACTTGCCAATCTTGTCCTTTGAATTGACATATAGTCTAATAAAAGGGCAAGGTAAAAAAAATCTACCCCAAAAAAAAAAAATAAAATGAATGCCAAAACATGTAATACACACAGAAGGTATGTATGTCTAAATCCAAGATAAACAAATTCTGGAACAACAAAAAACTTACCTTGGGATTCAAATAAAACACTTGCTTGTGAAATCCAAACACAATTGCTCGTACTGAAATAAATAGAATACAGTTAAGCCCATAAATAACATACAAATGACAAAACAATAACCAAAACTCTAATCGCTACCTCCATTTACAATGAAGTTCATCAGATGGAAAACCTTTTGCGTTGTCCAACCATACTCTGGCACTCTCAGTTCAATCCTTATCAATTGAATCTGCATACGACCATCATCATCTATACAAAGTTCAAAAATATAACTTCCCAACTAAAAATTTCTTGATTAGTTTTAGACCAACACCTTACAAGTAGGAGTTCAAAGCATGGGTAGATGTGTGCATAGACACATTATGATGATGGAAATTTAACAGCAAACCATTTTAGTTAAAAAATAATGCCTCAAAGTAAAAATTGATGAATGGCATCAAAATAATTCAAAATTTGGGAATATTTAGATTATTAAGTCAAAAGTAACTACAAGAAAACCTAAGAATGAGTTTGAGAATTCTAAATCATGTAGAATAAGATAACATAAAGGCTGTGTCGATCCATTGTTATGTAGAACAATCTAGGATTTCCCAAAAATCCAAGAATTATTTCTAGAATACAAGTTCAAGTTAATCATTCACTGTGCTGTGCCAGTATCCATTACGATGTCAGGTACATAAAATACAAGGAAAAAAAAAATACCACCAATTTAAATATAAAGAATCCAATTATTGTTTCTTTATTCAAAGAATATATGGGCTAAGGGTCAGCTCATTTGGTTGTCCCAAAATCTGCATTGGCCATTTCTAGAATTAACCTATTTACAAATTTTAGTACGATTGCCATAGCTTCTGCTGATTGGAAGTCCTTAGGAAGGACTATGCAAGAAGTCCTTCATGAGAATGAATACTAACAAAAGATGTTTGGCAAAGGGCAATGAATTAAAACAAAATAATACTAAATAATAAACAAAAAAACAAATACATGAAATAGACAGTTGTGTAATAGTGAACTTTTTAACAATATGAAGTCCTTATTGAAGCTTAGAATTTAAGGCGAATTATATTAACAGTCCCTATAATTTGAGACTTGTGTTACTTTGGTCCTTAACCTTTCAATTGTACTACATTTGATTCTGAATTTTGAATATCATTTCAAATAAGGACAATTGAAGACATTATTTCCTATGCAAAAGGAAAATGCTTCATTTCAAGAGCAAAGTCGTTAATTTAATAAAATATAAACTAATTTGACAAAAATAAATGTCAAAAAATTATTTTTGAATTTTTAAAAATTATTTATACCCACTAAAGATAAAATAATATAAAAATGATAAATTTTTTACATTTTTATTTTATTTTACTTTTTTACCAAATTAATTTTTAATATATGTTTAGATGATGATCATGTAATGGAAGGTTGTTTTTGGATGGTTATCATCAACGGATGGTTGTTTTTGTTGTTAACATATATTTTTGGATGGTTATTATGTAATGGATGGTTATTAGGCTTTTAATATGTAATCGATATATTTAACATATGAAATGTTTTTAGTTTTAAATTTTTTGATCTAATGGATTTGTTTAATAATGACATCAAAGTTGTCGCCATGTTTGACTTTTGAAAAAATAAAAACTAATTTAACGAAAATAAATATAAAAAAAATTAATTTTAAAAAATTATTTCTACCCTTTCAAAAGGTAAAATTATATAAAAATAATGTGTTTTAAATTTTTTTTCACCAATTTAATTTTTAATTTTTTAGAAATTTTTTTTGAAAATAGATTCTGAAAACCAAACCAAACAAAATTTTATAACCGAGAAAGTGCCAACATTATTTATTAAAAAAAAGGCCATTACATTTCAAATAACATACAAGTTAACCAATACAAAATAAGTTATATGACGACTTTGCCCTTGAGATGGTCCGTTTGCAAAGGAAACATCTTTGATTGTCCTTATTTGAAATAAGATTCAAAATTCAAAGTTAAATGTATCCCAATTAAAAAGTCAAGAACCAAAGTGACACAAACCCCAAACTATAGGGACGGTTAGTGTAATTCGCCCTAGAATTTAGAAATCAATTAATAAAAAAAACAAATACAATGAGATAGAAGAAACCTAACCATAAAAGATCAAGAAATCCAGGCAAAAGATGAGTTGGTTTAGAATCTGCAGCTTAAAAGATAACATGGTAGATTGCAAAAACTTATTTTTGTATATCAAAGATGCAATGGGTTGATATTGTTGATAATAACAGATACAATGCCATTGCCAAATATATATATATATATATAATGGTTTGGTTTGAAAATATGATATAGGCCCAAGGTCAAGGTATGCAGAGACAAAATTGAGCTCTGACGTTTTGTCACTAAAGTAGTCAAGAAGCACGGAAATAGACATGTGACACAATACGGACACGACACAGACATGCAAACAAGCAAATCTTCAAAAATGTAGGACATGATATGTTGGGGACACGCGCAAAGCATATAATTTTATATAATTAATATATATCATATTTTTTAATATTATATATTTATTCTACGTTAAATATTTATTCTCATCAAATTCATTAACTTTGGTATGCTATTTTGGTATAAAAAAAAAAAATTAAAAAAGGTCGTGTCCCTAGTGTGTCCGACATGTGTCTATGTCCGTGCCTAACACATGTAGGACACCAGTACGTGACCTTTGGAGAGGTGTCCGTACTTCATTGTAAGTTGGCTTTGTGAGAAGCTGCTATGAAAAGCTAACCCAGGTAGTTTCACCATGATAAACTTTTATGAGATGGGCTTCCTCCAAAATCCCAAAGTCCCAAGCAAGTCCATTTGGGCATTCTAGGAAGCCCTTCAAAATGCTACCTAGATAATTAGATGTTTCTTACAGTAAAAATTGGAACCACCAAAAAATTCTAGAAATTTTACTTTCTATATAAAAATGTAGAATTGGCCTTTCTTTCAAAACATAGATTAAGATATTAAGAAACCATTCTGTTGGAACAACTAAAATATCTAGTAATTTTACTTTCCATATTCTTTTCAAATATAGAATTAGCTAACCTAAAATTGACAGATTTAGAACCCATTAAGCATATAATTAAATTAACTCAAAATTAGTTAATTGTAAATGGAACAATTCAATCAGCACAACCAAATAAGCCCTTAAAGTATCAAAGAAGTAAATTGACCATCCCAAATCCACCGAAAACCACAAAAAAACTAGCATCAGTCAAATCCTCTAATCCACGTTTGGTTAGTCAGAAAACTGAATAAAACAAAGTGTTCTTAAACATTAAATCTTATGATTCAAGTTATTGAACAATCACCTAAACTAGGGCATATGATTGGACTTCCCACGGTTAAGCTCGGAAGCTTCTAGTTAAATTGAAGAAATCTCAGATTCAAAAAAAAGAAAAAGGAAGAAATTTCAGATTATTTTCTCAGGAACCAAACAGGTAAGAATGTAGGGATTGAAATAGGGACAAGATCATACCAGGGCAACAGAGGAAACTAGGGCATAGGCGGCACAGAGAGTGTAGAAGATTCCATCTTGCCATTGAACCGAGTCGTTGATCTCGTCCCACCAGCTTGAAGACAGACCTCCAAAATCTATTGACGACAACTTCAGTGGCATTCTCATCATTTTTCTTAATCTGCCACAGCTTCTATAGTATGAAGCTCTCTGCGAACTCAAAACAACTTCACAACTTCACAAGAAAACAGAGAGAGAGCGAGAGAGAGAGACAGAGAGAGAAGCTGAGAAACGTGTTGGATTCACATGAGAGAGAGAGAGAGAGAGAGAGAGAGAGAGAGAGTTGTGTACCTGACGGTCTCAGACTCAGACAGGGGCTGCCGATTAGGCTTTGGTCGCTCGCACCTAAGCTTCTCCCACCTTTTTTTTTTTCCCCCTTCAAATTATATATATATATATATATATTAATGAAAAAAATTAAAAATAAATAAATTCATAAAGGGTGTGGGTTGATTTTTTTGACTTTAGGATTATTTTAGCCTGAGATTAAAAAGTCTCGTTTAGAATGAATTTTTCGGCTTTTTGAATTTTTATGAGAGAAAAAATAAAATAATTATGGTTTGAATGTAATATTTTATTTTATTAATTTTTAGCCGATTTTATCTTTTTATAACTATTTTAGTCCAAACGTGGTATGCCAAACAAGCGCATAGTGGGTTGATTTTTTTAACTTTTTGACTATCTTAATTCGGGGCTAAAAAGTTTCGTTTGAAATAAGTTTTTTGACTTTTTGATTTTTATAAGAGAAAAAATTTAAATGTGACATTTTGTCTTATTAGACGAAAAAAATTATTTTATTTTTTTGTAACTATTTTAGCGAAAAAAAACTCCCGTTTAACTTATGCCAAATGAGAACATAATAAAATTAGACACAATCTTTTCGAGTTCAGATTAACTAAAGTTAAAAATCTCAATTTCACTTATTTTCACAGTTAAAGTTAGTGCATTATGAGATTAATTTATATTTATGCCAAAGATTTGAATCATTCATTCCCTTTGACAAGTAAAAATAAATATTTATGTAAAATATTAGGTTGATTAGATATACGTAATTATATGATCAAATTATATATATTATAACAAATAAACGGTCTAGTCTTAAAAATATATAGGTCATATAGATAAAAATTATCTAATAGTATAATAATTGATGTCAGATGAATATGATTTTTTGCATAGATAATTTTCTTATTTAACTGTATAAATAGATAATTTAGATTATTAAGTGAGCTCAAGTTAATCCGATAGTGAAAAACTTTACTGTGAAGTTGAGATATTCAATTTTACAAATCTAGACTCAATTCTTTCCTACCTTATTTGATTCTAATTTTCTAAAAATTGAGTATTTTGTTTCACTTTTTTTTAAAAAAAAAAATTGGTGAATTTTTTTAATATTTTAAGCATTTTTTTTTTACTTTTTAAATGCATCTAAGCTAGATATATCTAAAAAGTAAAATATTTATAAAAAATATTTAAAAAATCAATAAATATACAAAAATACGAAAATGTACTGAGGCTTCGTTTGGGATGTGGGTTGGCTTTTTAGTTTTTTTGACTATTTTAGCTTAAGGCTAAAAAATCTCATTTGGGATAAACCTTTTAGTTTTTTTTACTTTTGTGAGAAAAAAATGAAATGATTATGAGTTAAATGTAACATTTTGTCATATTTAACTAAAATAACTAATTTTGTCTTATATGGCCATTTTAGCCCAAAGTGGTATCCCAAACATAGCCTGAATATTTATTTATTTTTTTTATGATAGACAAGGGTGATGTCCTAAGTTTATGACCAATCATCAGAACCATACATCCACACCTAAATTGCTTCAAAACAAACTTTAGCTTCAAAGAATCACAAATTTTTCAAAACAACAACAAATCTAACCTCATATCACTTAAATCAACAACAAATCTAACCCAAAAAACACACAACAAAAAGCCCCTTGCTTTTTTTTTCCTACTACATTTTCTGATTAAAATCAGGGGGGAAAAAAAAATCCATAACAAACCCTAAATCATCAAACCCATTTAAGAAATCAACAACAAATCTAATTCACAAAATCATACATACATATATATATATATATATATTCATGTTGATTTGAGAAGTGACTTTTTAATTTTTTAACTAAAATGTGAAAAAAAAATTGAAATGTTTGGAAATAATTTTTTACCCAAAAAATGTGAAAAAAGAAAAAGAAGAAGGAATAATAATGATTTTTGACTTTTTTTATATGACTTCTTGACTTGGGGGGCGAGTTCGAGTCCTCTCCAGCTCTTTTCTCCGGTCAAAATTTAGCCACGTCACTCATAGCAAAATCTATGGCTCAGATTAAGGCTTGGTTTGGGAAGATTATAAGTTCACTCTTTTTATCTTTTTGGATCACATCAATCAACATTTTCTTTTTATTTTTTTACATATTTTTTTATAAAAATTTTAAAAATACACTTATTTAAAACATTATAAACAACCACTTGTGTTACTTGCATCAATTGTTATATTAATTAGTATGTACCAATATATACTATGATATTATCATTTTAAAACTATAAACCATATCCATTATATAAATTATAAAGATTTTAAAATTTTAAAATTATACCACATCATCCGTTAATAAATTAATTGATACATTAATTAATACATATAACTTTATCCTTATGAATATGATTATATAAAAATATTATTTAAAAGAATAATTTAATAATAAATCTTAAAAAATAAATATTTATAAATATCACATCAACAAGTTGGAGAAAAATGGTTGAATAAGAAATTGCCTCATAAATGTGTATATAACTCACACATTTAAGGCTCATTAGTTTTACAAAATTGATTTTAAAGGTATATTTTCAATGATATTATTTTATAAAATTAAAATTTTATATTAAAAATTATATATATTATGAAAATAAAATTAAAAAGTTTAAAATAGTTTTTTTAATTTTTTATTGAAAATTGTTTGAGGGCTCGAAATCGTTGGCTCGAATCCCAAAGTGACATCGTTTTGGGTTTCATTTTTTTTTTCTTCATTTTCTTGCTTTTTTTCCCTTTTCTTCCTTTTCCTATTTTTGAATAGAGACATAGAGGCGAGAGAGAGAAAGGAGAAAAGAAGGAGAAAAGATAGGGAGAAGGAGGAGGAAGAGAAGAAGATGGTGATGGCGGAGGAGGAAGATCAACGGTGATGGCAGTGATTGGAGCTAGAGTTGAAGTTTTTTTTTTTTTTTCTAGTTGATGATGTATTGATGAAGATGTTGTTGATTCTTCTTCTTCTTCTTTTTCTTCTGCTTTTGCTTGTTCTTCATCATCTTCAAAACAGTGAGAAAGAAAAAAGAAAAGAAAAAAATATATATATATTTCCAAAACGACGTCGTTTTGGATTCAGGACAAATTCGAACTCGAACAATTCGAGCTGCGCATCACAGTTGTTTTTTATTAGGGGAGAGAGAGAGAGAGAGAGAGAGTGGTGGACTTGATGTGGCACAGTGTGTCAGATGTGCTATGTTGAATGAATTCATTTTTTTTTTTTTTAAGTTAATCTGAGTCATTGGTTTTGTTATGGATGACACGGACGAATCTTGTCCGTTGACTGGAGGGAGAGCTAGAGAGGAGGGCTGGAGAGGATCCAGACTCGGGGGGAGGGGGGTAAATTTTCTTATTGCCAAATGATCTCTCTTGTATGATACAAGTTTTGACTATGTGATTCATTGTGTAAATAAAAAAAGAAAACGATTATATATCACTATTTTTTGGTAGATGTTATTTGTTTTAGTTATTTTTTAATAATTATTTTTAAGAAAAATAATTAATTATGAATATTCATGCAGTGATATAAAATAGTGATAAATACGCATTTCTAATAAAAAAAATTGTTTTTAATATGGTGATTGTATAATTTTGCGGTGTTTTGAAAAATTAGTAAAAAGTTAATTTTTAACTTTTTTAATCTATTTTATCTTTTTATAAATAAAAAATATGAGAGATAATGTGATCTAAAATAAGTAAAAACTTAAAAACTGATTTTTTATTTGGTTGCAAAGGACCCTTTATATATTTATGTCATACTTGTGCTGTGTTGGAGTAGGAGTAGGACAAGAGGATTAAAGAAGTTGGTGGCCCGTGATGGGTCAGGTGGGTGTGATATCTGTTCTTGTATTAAACAGACATTCAAAAAAATTCGAAAGATCTCACAACACTAGAAATTAGTGGGCAATGAGTTGCCTTATTTGGACGAGTTTTTTTTTAAAATTTAAATTTATTACCTTTTATATATTTTTTTAAATTCTTAAATTTTTTAAATAATCTATTGAATTTTTTTAAAAAAAATTAAAATATTAAAAAATAGCTTAAATAAGCTTTGCAAATAAGTATCAGATAATAAAAAGAATGACGCTGATCCAGAGTAATAAGACTACTTAAAAAGAAATGGTAAATTATTTTATATAATTTAAGTGAGTGACACAATTATGAACTGTAATTATTCACATTTTTCATATTTGTCATCTGTGAGGATGTATTTTCTGAATACCAACACGTGGCAAGATGACGCCGACGTGTCAGTCGAGGTGCCACGTGTCCTGGTTGTGACGCCGAGATTATCTCGTCAAGGTCGAGGTTATCTCCGAAGATATCAGAATCCGAGATAAGCGGATAAGAGATAAGGGACAAGAGTCTTAGAGTAAAGAGGGAACTTTGCTAAGATAAGGATAAAACTCTTATGGAGTTTATCTTTATCTCTTGTGAAATCCAAAGTAAGCACTGAATGGGAGTCCATAGAAGTCAGGCTTCTAGTGGATCAGGATTGAGATGGCTATAAAAGAGAGGCACCCCATGGATAAGGTAAGCTTTTTATGCTTAAGCTTGTGAGTTTAGCACTTGATTATCTTTGAGAAATATACTGACTTGATCGTCGGAGTGCCCCCGGGTGGTTGAACCACCGCTGGAGACTTCTCTTTCTGTTACAGGTTAGCTAGAGGCTATCTATTCTGCCAGTGCTTTTCCAGCTGATTACTAGGCGGGCAGTGTGGTCAAAAAATTACTCACACATCAACTATTTCTAATAATCAATGAATTAATTTTCTTAATTCATTAACAACGAACAATTTATTTTATTGATACTACTGTTTAAAAAAATGGTTAATGTGATTATATATAGAAAAAAAAATGTTATTTATTATCAAATTATATCTTATTGAACCATTTGGTGGAATTTAATATTAATTATCTCTTACTAAATGCTCATGTATATTCATACAATAAAATTTGAAATTATGATCCTATTG